GTCATCTATGCAAAAATTCTAGGATATTAACCATTGAGCATAGTCCGTCCCTGGCGTTTTGGGGACAGTGAAGTTTCACTTACAATATCAAAAACAAGCTGTACGCATGTGTAATTAATCACCAAATTCGCATCATGCTGAAGTTAATAGTTTAGAGACTTTTCAGTCTGTAAATAAAAATAACTTTTTAATTTTCACCTTTGAGGGCCCGTAACTTGTTAACGAAGGCCCGTATGAAAAAAAATTATAAGAACTGAAAAACGAACTGAAAACATCGAACCTTAACCCACTGGATTTGTTTTTGTAGGGTGCTATTAAAGGGCTGGTATACAGTGAATAAATTAATACACCTGAGAAATTAGAAGAAAGAATAAATAATGTTTTTCATCAGATTCAAGCAACAATAAATTTCGAACAAATTATAATTTCCTTACTAAAATGATGTGGCGCCTGTGTTCGTGGATAAGGAGGCATATTTGAGCATTTACTCAAATAAAATCATTAAAATGATGACTAATGTTATTAATTGCTTTATTCGAATAAATAACCGATGATTAGTATTTGTCATGTCATTTAAGTAATAGTGTTTTCAGTTAGTTTTTTAAGTTTTACTCGAAAATCAGTCTTTTTTCGAAAAACAAGAGAGTACTGTGCCATTCAATTGGCTACAGTAGGAAGCGACCTGCTATATTGCAGATACTTGTTGCACGACTGCCACCCACAGAGGGCGAAGACAATGTTTTAATTGCCGGTGTTGCGAGAAACAACTACTCCGAGGGCTATATGTCCCTACCGGCATTGAATTATACTCGCAACACCTAGTGCAACAGCTAGGATCGTTCGTCGGTTTAATCCACTAGGCACAGACCGTTTTCGGACTTATTAGTCCTCATCATTGTGTCATAGGTGAGACAACCGTCGAACGATCCAGCTGTTTTGCGTCGTATCATCACGAAAAAACATAATAATAAGAGAGTAGTCATTTGTAGAAAATTGAAAGAAGAATCCGAAAATATCATGGTTGTTGCCGTAAAGCAGTGGCGTACTATTTTATTCCGAAAAGTATGCTACCGATATCCGCCACTGGAGCATGTAAATTTTAGGAAAAACCCTCAAATTTTGGACAATACATAAATACATGTGCCCAATTTCAAATTATTTCATTTACTAGTTTTTAAATTAGGTACTTATTTTATAAAATTTAAAATATTTTCTGAAGTTTAACACCCTGTATCTTTTTAACGAAGCGTCCTAGACAAAAACTTTATAGGAAAGACCCTTAAAATTCACAAAGGATACGAGATTTCAATTTTGGTCATCATTTGTGCATCACCCTGTATAATGTTCGTACAATATGTGTTGAGGTAGAATTCTAAGAAAAGAATCATCCAATAATATTCTGTTATCGGAACTACTATAAAAATTGACCGTGGCTGGGCGTGAAATTTTCCGCGTTATTTTCAGAAAATTAAAATATAATCCGGGAATTAAATTCCTTTTTTCTATTTTTCACTTTCTTTTTTATTTTTCACTTCCATTGACTAATTTTAATAAGAAATTACACCAAAAATGCACAGGACGATACACTTACGTAGAAACACGCCTTCGTAACTGTAAAGCACAATATACACTGCAAGCTGCTACGGTGAACGCCACGCCGCCAATGTCTTTCTACCTCGAATATCGAATGCGGTTAATTCCAGGAAAGTGACGCAGGGCTCTTCTTGGAATTCTATCTCAACAAATATCGTACAGACTGAAGGTATAGTACGTAATAATAAGTACCAGTTAACAAAATAATAATGACTTACTCATAAGGAAAGCGATTGTAGAAAATAATTAATAGTTATCCTAAGCGTTCCTTTGTTAATCGTCTTTGGCGAAAATGACTGTTCAAGGTCACACGCTCATATTATCTAAAATAGTTTTTATAGATGCTATTTTTGCTAATGGTGGCGGAGCATCAACTACTTCAAATTTTAATAATCCCACTATCCGCGTCATTGTATAATAACATATACATGTCGGCCTCTAATCGCAGACATGTACATGTCTGATGGCATCGATCAATTTATTCGATACGTATCTAGCGGCACGCCAACGCCTGCACTGCCGGCCTGGCGTACCGGTGAACAATCCAGATTTTTCGCTGAGTGACGTTGGCCGTGCATTTCATAGTCGTTTGTGCGATGTGAGTGAGTTTAACGTCTTGTTTGGTCGAGTGTATGGCACGTGTTTTTTGTGGCAATCATTAGCATTGTGTACGGTGAGCATAGAGCAACATACGGCTTGATCACAGATTTAGCCATATGAGTAAATAAATAAGAGTGTCCCTTCGAAGAAAATGAGCCCAAAAAGAATGTTTTAGTCATAACCCTGCCCCCGGAATAGTAATTTGAAAATGGGCCTTTTTTGCAAAAATGGGATAAATAAATGGAATTTTGCAAAAACTATTCGACCGATTGAGCCTATCTTTGTACATCCCTTAAGGATATAAAAACTCACATTTTGGGAAAGTTTGGCAAGATTTTATTAATTATTTAAAAAATTATTAACAAATAAAGAAAAAGCACTTTTTCCGTTTAATTTTGCAATAACTTTTCTGTTTATAAAACAATTTTAACTTATAAAGTTTCATTTTAAAGATGAGTTTCTCTAGATCAAATCGTCTGTTCAACTTTTTTGCTAAGATTAATAGTTTACAATAACGCGTAGAATGAAAAATGACTAATTATTGACATATTTTTTTATTAAAAACAATGACGCTATACTTTTTTCATGACCCATATAGGCGCCTCTTGTATTATCATTCCCAAGACTTTCCAACAATAAAATCACGCCCATAATTTTCACGAGTTCTCTATGATTTTTTCACCTTTATTTCTTGGTCTACTTTTAAAAAACCGAAATGTGCATATTTAAAATTGTTATGTGCTATAAGTGCTATAAGTGTCATATGTTACATCGTACTGATGAGAACCAATTAGTTCGAAACAAATGTATCTAACCATAATTTTTGTCAAGTAACTGTGTAATGCATTTTACATAAAGCCAGGTGAATAATTCTTTCAAATTCTTTAAAATTTGCAGTTTTTAATGGTTTCTTAAAAAAAACAATAATTACAAGTCTCTCTGTACATTTTTTTGATACTTAAATATTTTCGAATTCGTAACAGAATGAATTTGTATATTTGTCACACATTTAAATATCACTGCTTTAACTTTTTCATTTAACTAAGTTGATAATAATTAAAGTGTTTCATAAGTAATGGGTCATGGAACAGATGTTAATGGTTCACGTTAATTTCAATTATTAACTTAAACTATTAGTAGCTATTGTGTGATCTATTACTTGAGGGGTATAGATGCAACTCACATTATCCACTTTTTAAATTTTTCAGGAAGAAGGAATAACTGATTTCTCACTTTTCAAGTGATTTAAGGCTCTGAAAATTTTTTTGGCATTTGTATTAGAACTTTAAATTTGCTTCATAATTGGTGAAATGACAGCACAACAATACTTGACTCCAGGAAAGCGAATGAAGGTTAAGATAATGTGAGTTTTGATACAACTTTTTGGATAATGGTAGTTTTGCTCCAAATTATTCTACATAATAGAAAAACACGGAAGCAACCACCTAGGAAAGCAAAACGATAGGAGAAGCAAAACTCACATTCTCCTTAGACAGTCGGCCATATTGGTTTATCGCTTTAAGCATTTTGATTGATGGATATGGATAATGTGAGTTTTGGCGACTTCAGATCGTAGGAGAATGTGACTTTTGAAATAATTCACAGATCCCACAATTTAAAAATAAATACGACAATGTGAGTTTGTACCACTTCTAAAGTTTAAAATAGTGTAGTTCAATACGATGAACAAGATAGCGTCACTAACTCTATTTCGAAACATTATGGATAATGTGAGTTTTGCATCTATACCCCTCACTTATGAAATACTTTTTGCTCTTAGTGTATTTTGTTACATTTAAATTTACCGGCATTATGGTGCAGCGACAGAATTAGAGGTTACTCTAATTGTGTTTTTCCATGCAGTTTCCTTAATTATTTTATGGTCTGTGGTTTCCGAGTGTGTCGTTTGCTGCACCAGCTACAGCTGGGAGTACTCTGCCACATAACACTTAAAATATAATGGAAACTCTATGGTTTATCTTGAAGGTATTTTTGTTATGCAATCCAAAATACACTAAATCTTAGTTAGGTACATATCCATTGTAGGGCGCTAGTGTTGAAATTTCTGAAAAGTCCCCGCGGTGTGATTGGTTGCCTAATGATAATATTATGTCTACCTGATCCTGCCATGACAGTTTCGTTGGTTGTTTGAGAGGTTAAGTTTTCGATTATAGTGGTACATATTTTCGTGGAGTTATATATATTTTTCTTTGAAGTGTTTCTTAAGGATAATGGATTCTTATAGAAAACGATATAGGAAGTGCGTTGTGCCCGGTTGTAACGATTTGTACAGTAAAAGACAAACTTTTCCAAAAAACGATATTGCTCTGTTTAGAAAGTGGATAGATCAGGCACAGCTTAATATTAGGGGAGAAGGGGGCACTTAACTGATTTTAATAAGTAAAAAAAATCTGCAATATTTCAGAAATACTTTGCCATTAGAAACGAATTGTATATACCTTTATGCTTTTATTTGACATGGGACATTTGTTGAAGCTCTCTAACTAAAAAAGATAGAAGTCAATAATCAAACCCCTGTAAAATGGCCACTCGTACCCCAAGAAGGGGCACCATCGGCCAGGTAGAGGGGTAGTTTCGGCCCTATTAAATTAAAACACAAAAAAGAAAGAACGATCTGATACATAAGAAAATGTTTTATTTAACAGTAAGGTTATTAAAATTATAATAGAATGCAAAGTATGAATCTCTTCTGGACTTCGCAGGATTTGAAAGTTTGGCGTAAATATCATCCCTGGTGCTTATTTCTACATCATCTACTTGAGGAAAATAAAATTTGTTAGTCTTACCTCTACGCCTGAGATATTTAACTTGATATGAATTTTCAGAAACAGTACTTTGTACACACCCAATGTAATGCAGAGCACTACCTTGGGAAACAAATTTTACTAAGATAAAACTACTTATTTCTATATTATCATCTTCTTGTAAAGACCCAAAACTTAAGTTGACATCGGAATCGCTACTGCATTCAAAATCTGAATTAGATGACTCGCTACTTGAGCTATCAAGTAATACTTTCCTTTTGACCTGCTTAATTTTTTTAATTTTTACGAAATCGCTGCAGCTTGGAGATTCTATATTCTTAGAAGATCGTTTCAATTTTCTTTTTTGTCTATCAGACTTTTGTTTCTGTTTTTCCATTTTAATTTCTTCAATTTCCTCCAACCTTATTTTTTCTGGGGTTTCTGTATAAATTCTCGATTTTCCTTGATTTGCTTTTGGTCGTCTTCCTACAGTTTTTATTTCCTTCTTAACTTTAGGAAGGGGCCTAACAGCTTCAGGACTTAATATGTATGGTTTTGATAATTTAGTTTGTTCCCCATCTTGAACTGGAACTGGTAAGATTACTGCTTCTTTCGAAGTTGACGGTTGATTTCTAAAATCTTTTTCTGCAATTTTATTGGACATATTTGTATCTCCATACAAATTTGGTTCTTCAGATTCACGATTTAATTGTTCTTCAGAAACTCTCTCTGTTTTCGATTGCTGCCCATGATCATTGTAGACCAAAGTAGCATCGAAGTCTTCATCGTTAAAAGGTGAGGAATTATGTGGCCAAATACCCGTTTTTTCAAACGCATTAGTAATATTGCTTGGTGTAAAAGCTTCTAAATACGGTTTTTTTGTGATTCTAGCAATATGTTTTACCGAAACTGTTTTGCCAGGATTATTCGACATCCAGTCGTTTAAAGAGACAGCGCATTTGCCTTTAAAAGGTCCATAAACTCCAACATCAAGAGGTTGGAGTTTATGAGACGTGTGCGGTGGGAAAGAAAGAAGAACAATCCCATTTTCTCTTGCGTAAAGTATAGCTGCTAACGTTGTATGCGATTCATGATTATCCATGAGGAGCAAAATTTTGTTTTCTTTGTTGCAACTTGTATGTTTTACAATATGCTCCAAAGTTTTAATAAATAAATCTCCTGTCATCCACCCTGACTTATTGCCAAATGCTGCACTTAAAGCTGGACCGTTCTCCAAATAATCGTCTATGTTTCTAACTCTTGGAAATATATAAACGGGTGGAAGTGCATTTCCTGTAGCACTAATGACTCCTACACAGGTAACTAGTTCTCCCCTCTCAGCCGAGGCTATAAGACCAATTTGTTTTTTCCCTTTCGGAGCCACAACCCTTGGTGGCCGTAGGACTGTGGTTACCCCAGTTTCATCTAAATTGAAGATTCGATCAGGAGTAAACTGATACCTCTCCAAAACATTTTTGTAGTTGGTAAAAAATTCTTCCACTTTGACTTTACTAAAACCTAACCCTCTAGCTAAACTTGTGCTTTCTGGCTTTCTTAATGCTAAGGTTGAATTCCTTATCATAAAACTATACTGCCAGTCCGTATCTGCTTTCTTCTTAGAGTTCCAGCTTTGAGGATAATTGCAATTTGGCAGCATCTTTGCGTAATCGTATACTAGAACTTTGATTTGTTCGAATGTCAAACCATAATTCATGTTTGAACATTTTTTTATATACTTAACCAGCCTATCTTCTTGTGACATTGAAAACACTTGCCTTGTGGCATATTTACCTAGAAGAAAGTATAAAAAATAACATCAAAACAGATCGTCATAATTTTAGTAAGTATATAACAATTAAAATAGTTGGAATTTGTACTTGCATCTTTCTTCTAAACCACTGCCATATCCATCATCATCAAAACGCTGCAGATATTCTTCGGCTGTCATAGTTCTCAAAATCTTTTTTATTCTTGTTTATTGTAAGGTTTGCCGTTTTATGCCATAAACTCGCGTAGCTTCTCTTTGGGATATATTATGAGATAAAACTTGACGCAAGGCCTGACGCATAGTAGCTTCATTAATGTTGCGCCGATCTGTTTTGCATTTGTAATTACGCACCATCTGTAACAAAAGATAAATTATCTATTTTTATAACTAGCTATCTACTTGCTGTTATCCAATTGGGGCACTTTCGGCCATCTACCGAACGTACCCCACTAACTATGGCCGAATGTGCCCCTACCGTCTTTCTATAATTCAAACATTTATTACAAGACTCAGGAGTAAAATACAGGTTATGTTTATCTAAATATCAAAAGTATGTATATTTATGTTAGTTTGTTGAAACTGAGATCAAAATACAAGCCCAAAAGAAACTATATATAGCACATTTTATTATAATAAAAAAACTTACCTTTTTCTGGGAAAAATCGTTAAAGAAACTTCAACTTTACACAGATCACACGAAGCACATAAAATGACAATGGCCGATCTGAAAATGCTCTTGCAAACTCTTGCTTCCTGAATTCGGCGCGAAAACTTGAAAATTTGAAATATTAATCGCAGTGGCTGATTGTGCCCCCATGCCGAATGTACCCCCTTCTCCCCTACTAATACATAAACTAATGTATTTTTTTTATTAATTTTCTTTTTTTTTGTTACTAAAAATCTTATAAATAGTGAAATCTTGCAATATAAATATGACGATTACATTTTGTACTTACTAAAGTTGATGAATAAACTGGTATTCTTGCATATTATACATTACTATTTTTTTGGCGTTAAAAGATGAGGTCCATCAATAATTTTACCAAAAGATTCATAACATATATTCGTAAATTGGAAATTTATGGGCTCAGATTTTAAAGAAGCCTGAAACTCAAATTAATGTATTATTTTGTTCAGTAGCAAACTATTTTCAATGTATAATTTTATGTGTATAAGTTCTATATTATTATTATTTTTTTTAAAATTTTTTCAATTCAAATAAGAATCTCTCTTTCAGATTAGAAAAACTGTAAATATTCAAAGCTAATGGTGGGAAATGCAGTGGTAAAACAGTTACGAGATGAAGTTTGAAATTCTGTAACTATTGAAATGTTCGTAACTTTTAAGACCAGTATTTAATTGTTGGTAATCGCTAACTACCAGTTAACCCCGACTTTATTTTCTTCTATTGAAATTAAGAAATAACAACTTCCTCTAAAATCGAAGGTTAACTTAATCAAAAATGTATTTGTAAATTAGCTTTTAATTGTATATTAATATCACGAAATCTTCATTTGAAAAGTATTCGTCAAGTATGTGTGATTGAAAAACCGGGCCTTATTAAAGTTATGCAACATATAGGATTACATTAGTTATGGTAATTTAAAATTTCTCTTTTACTTTAGTTCTGCATTTTTCGTTGTTAGTTTTGTATATTTATGGTCTTTCTAATCTCATGGATAAATACGAAAATATTTCTTAAAATTAATTTTACCGCCGAAATATATTGTCTTCTCTGTATAATAGATGACGCTGAGCTGACTAATGAGGTGACCTATAAATTGTATAAAAAGTTAGGTACATATCCGTTGGATGGCGTTGTACGATAAATAAATTCTCCAACAAAACTTCAACTACTCAGTTTCCAATTTCCATTATATTTTAAGTGTTATGTGTACTCTGCACCTATGGCTAGAAGTTGGCCTCAATGATTTGGGATCGAGGGGGATTATCCCTCTTTATCCTGCCTCATCTCTTGTAGGCCTGGACAGCCTTCGTAGGTGGGCCCCATCCGTCGTCTACCCCGACCGCAAATGCGGCCGGTGTAGGCGCTTTGTGGGACCTCCTTTTGTCCTGGCTGGGCCCCGCCGGCTAGGGCCCTTTCTTCTGGCGCTCTTCTTGCACTCTGCACCTGCAGCTGCTGGTGACAGAAGACAGAATAAAACCCTCTCATTAAGTTTTTAGTTACCTACACATATGGATTTAGCCTATTTCTGCCACTACAAGGCGTATTGCAGCTTACTAGCACAATATAGATTACTACTGTTTATTTATTTGATTATCACCACAAAGTTTCCGACGTCTAATCATAACATAACCTAAATAAGATGCCATTGTCATAAATAAAAATTCTGGCCATCTCTTGCATCCGTTCATGATTTAATACAGGCACCGAGAACAGGTGAACGGAAAAAAAAACAATACGAAGCGGCGCGCACAATCATCTGTTTGTATAATATTGCGTGGTTTAAATTGGTTGTTAGTAGTGATCCATATAATGCACTTTCCTGTTTTAATTTGAAGCATACCATATTCTATACTTTTTTCTCTTCATTCAGAGACATCTAACGATATAAATTAATTACGCCTGTAGTACGTTCCTCGGTCGTGATATATCCTAGATTTACCCCTTTTTGCGAGCCCCAGCGCTCAGCTGTGTGATAAATTATTTCCAAAGCCACAAGTAGATGTTTTGCGGCACCGTGAAAAACAAAACAGATCGCTGCACCTGTGCTCTCGGCAAACAATCACATTATCTCTTAGACCGTACCGGAAAATATTGCCCTCTGTTTATTTATTTTTCTGCTTTGGAACCACGGGACAGAACGGTATAACCTGGTAACGATATTTTATTTATGGTTTGGATAACATTACGGGAATTCTGAATATGCGGGGAATTTGAAATAGTGGAGTATTTGTTTTATGAATTCTTGTTTAAATTTTTGTCAGGATTGAAATGTTACGGGGCTTGTTTGTTTATTTTGCAAAATATGTTGGGAAGTTACACTCTAGGGAATTTATTTTTGAGTAAATATCAAATATGACCTACTTCTCTATATAATGTGGCATCCAAATAATACAAAAAAGTCATCTATTTAAGTCAGAAATTTAATACATATATGGTATATGTATGTTTAAATAGGTACCCTAAATAGTTGTTCATTAAAGTGGTTAATTCTGTTCACGTCTACTAGATGTCTCATGCATAATGTGTGTTCATTCATAATTACAAAATGTCATACTACTGGAAATCATAAAAAATATATAGAGTAAAATAAATTCCTATCAATGGCCAGCCAGTAACTCGTTATACAGCGTGGTAAAAAAGTTCTGCATAAAATTCATATTTTCGTTAAACAATTTTTTTTCGAAAAACGGTGAGACCCGTCGATTTTTATTTGATCCAGGGCACCTTGTTATGTGGAAAAATTTTTTTCGATAATCCACTTACGGCAGCGATGACATAATTTTTTTTTTAAATGACAACGCATATTTTTTTCGTTCGAAATTGATGACAGTGATAATTATCTAAACAACGGTGTGAAAATTTCGATG